CCCCCCCCCCCCCCCCCCCCCCCCCCCCGCGCGGGCGGCGGGGGGCCGGCCCCCCCCCCCCCGGGCGGGGGGCTATGGGTATTTACACAACAAGCCAAACGTTTTTCTTTGTATTTTAGTTAGTTTTTTATGAATTCGTAATAATAACGGCGAATTCAGGTGAGAACTATGCGAATCGATGCGAAGAGACGATTCTTACTTTTCTTAATCTTAGAGAAATGTGTCTTGTCCTTGACATCAGTCCGTCAGGCATATCTGCACAAATTTCATAAATAGAAGTCGTAAATTCGGATTTTATTGTCTAGGAATTTTTCTATGAGGTTAAAAATAGATCGATTCGTCGCTTCGCATAGTTCTCACCTCAATTCGCCGTTATTTTTACGAATTCGTAAAATGCGAATTGATATCTAGGACAAGAAATTTTGCGACGATGGCTGTGAGTGTTACACAACAGCCAAACGTGTTTCGCTGTATTTCAATTGACAACAATTCGTATTTTACGAATTCGTATGAATAACGACGAATTGATATTAGAAGTATACATTTTCAACCGCTGGATCAGTTCGTAATACGAATTCGCTAATTCGTAGTTCTAAAAGCAGTGAACACTAATCCGTAAACTAATTTTACAAATTATTTGCGAATTGATCAGCATCGTGTCTGATCTATTCGGATGTTTACGAATTCGTAAAAGTTTTAGGGGTATCGTACGAATTCGATACACTTCGCTGCGAATCCTCAAAATAAACGTAAAATGCGAATTGTGGCATCATTTTTACGCTTAAAACTTGCGATTCGTCAATTCGTTTTTGGACACTTTGTCCACACATCTCAGTACGGTGCTGCCACTTACTGTGCAAGTATGAACAAAAAAGTCAGACATCGACGGCGCAGATTAGATTAAGGTGCAATGGCTCTTAAAGCATCATGTTCGTAATACAACATAAATAAAACGGAGTGTGAAAATCCAAATAATATACATTCCCTTCTCCATTAACCCACAGTATATAATTGTGTGCTCACCCGCGTTTCTTCCAGAGCATGTTTTTTTCAAGCTAACATGTTTACTGTGATGCCAATATGAACAATAAATTGTTATCTCACTAATAATGATCTTGCACAAGCAGCAATATCATGCATTGATTTATGTGTGGTATTACCTAATGATCCAACATTTATATATTGTAAATACGTTAATAACGATAAAATGTTTAAAAAACAGCTATCAGACAGAACTTTATGCTTTTCGTTTGGTTTTTCAATATAATTAATTTTATTCACAAGACTTTATCTACCATTATATGTAAAAATGTATTGTCTAAACTTTTATTTACATTGGTATTACATTCAAATGAATTATTTAAAAATTGTTTACTATCTTCTAAAACTAATAAGATTACGACAAGTTCAAAATGAATAATAGGTGAATCAATTAATTAAAAATATTGTTCAATTGTCAAAAGTGACACTATTTAATTTATATATATGCCAAAATGTTTGGCGTATATAGCCTATGTAAATGACTTTTTTATCAAAATATTTGAAAGCAATGTTATTTTATAATATTATCTTTTAGGGTATTTGGAACGATTGATTAGAAAATGAAAATTTTGATGATGAACGTCAATATTGCATGAATTTTCTTCATTGATCTTACACGATTGGGATATGAATGATGGCGAAAATCCTGTTAAATTGCCCAAATGATATTACGAACATCAGATGGATGTCTTTTAAATAAGAGGCATAAATTACAATTGAATGAAGCAATCCGTGAAATAGTCTCATTTTTTGCAGCTATTAAAATCATTTCTTTAGTAGCTATTCTAGTTTACTGACGTGGAAAAGTCCCCGAGTGCCACCTTGGATTTTCCTTGAAACACTTGACTATGGGTAATTTTTGACGTTGATCACGAATCGGATATCCGATCATCCCTATACGGCCTTTAGGACCTAATTCGATGTCTTCAGAAACTGATAGTGAACTTTCGTCTGAACAAATTCTGATAGTGCCAGATTGTAGAGCATATCGAGTTCCCTTGATGGACAAGTTTTCACTTAGTTATAAAAATTTCCGTATTTTATTCAGCTAAACTAAGGATCATTGAGGTATTTTTCCTATGCAAAACCTATAATCAACAAAAAAATTTGTCCTTCATTTCTCAAAACTTGTCTCCAGGGGTAACTTGATATGCTCTACAATCTGGCACTATCATACTTTGTTCAGACGAAAGTTCACTATGGATTAACTTAGGGACCTTTCCTCGTGAGCATTAAAGTTTATTTACAAAAAGAAAACAAAAAAATACACGCTGAATAAAAGATATAAAAAAAAAGTTGTTAGTAATACAAAAAGTAATACCACCCATTGTTTTTCTAGGAAAATGATCTATTTTTTTTCTAAATGAAGCTAGTCTGTTGATGGAAACCATGGTATTAATCTCGACGTTGTTCTCTTGTACAGTTTATAACGTGGATATTTTCTTATACTAATTTTTTCCGTAAATGCTGTTGATGCTTGAAATAGAATTGTCAATAAAATTGGTCCCCAAATAGTCCAATTTAAAATTGTTGATGTTTTAGAAATTGAAAATAAATAGAATGACCACCATAAACAAATTTCACCAAAATAATTTGGATGTCTACTATGACGAAATAGACCTTTACGAAGAAAACCATCAGCATGTTGTCTATCTTTAATTGATTGAGCATGTTTTTCAACTTGAAATGTCCATTGTTGTTGATCAGCAATAATTTCAATAGTAAGAAATATAATGAAAAATAGAGTGGCTACAACATCCATGCTACCAAGACGCTTCGTTCTCTCATGTTTCCAAGCATAATAGATGGGACTAGCAATTAATAATAGTAGAATATTTTGAAATATAGTTATAAATACGAGATTAAAAAGTTCAAATACGAGACGATTAGTTATAATCTGTTTTAATTCAGACCAACGATAATCTTCACTTGACCATCCATAGCCACCTTTACGATAAAAATTGTAAATAAGTCTTAAACCCCATGTCCACACTAGAATAGCCATTAGAATGATACGTGGATTTGAACTGTATAACAAGGTAATCAAACAATATATTGATGGTAATAATGGCCAAAGTTTATCAATTTGAGAATAATTTCTAGTGATAATACTAACAACGAAGCAGAAAACAATGGATATAACCATAAGAAGAAGGAGCCATTTACCAGGACCTTCATCAAATAATGTCAACAGATAATTATACATCTCTAAAATTTAGATGAATCATAATTGACATTGCTCTATTGTGGAGATACAAGGAAAACAATATGAAAAAGTGTTTGAAAGTTTAAAAATGAACATATAAAGGTATATTTTTGTGTTGTTTTTTTTGCTCTTTTTTTGCAACAAAAAGTGAGAATAGAACATTGAATAGAAGAGTGATCTGCTGTAAAATAAAGGTATTATAGGACTATAGATGATCAACCGCTGCATGGCCACTTGACGAACTAAATTTGGAGTTTCTGCATTGATAGATAGGAAGACTAGTTAGTTCTATAAACTGGCACAAAGACGTGTTAAGAGGGCAATCTTAATGGCTCACTTTTCTGAACAAAATATTCAGAAAAACAGCCATCAAACAGAAATAACGGTTCATTTACATTAGTAATACCACTCTTAAAATGTTATCTAAAGCCGTTAACTGGTATCTCAATAGTTACGAAGGAAAGAAATTCCATATTCTACGTTGGTTCATGTGACTTTTTATAAATGCTCTTTACACTCTAAAACTGCGTCTCTTTAAGCCAGCCGCTCTTTAAGTGAAAAAATTCGTCTATTTATCATTCCTTTCCTTTGAATCAACTATCCTCTTCTCTAAACAGAAAATAGCTATTTTTTCTAATAAACATCGAAAAAAAAATATACACAAACCGGTCATTATAAAAATCTAGAGAGATCTAATCATTGCATCTGGCATGATTAGAAAATCAAACAGAAAATAATAGACGTAAAATTACACAAAAACAACACGGACACAAATAAGAGTTTTACTGTATTTTGACTAGATGATGACTAGATCACATACATCTATCTATTTATTCTCGTTATATCAGCAGTATTTAGACTATTACTATTTTATCGTTACTTTCATTCATACGCGTTTCTTAATAAGTATTTTTATTGTCTGATACTGATAACACGTAACAAATTTCTTTTTGCTTTTATATTTTACGTTTATCAGACGTTCTGGTACTACTTTTCACCTTTTCTGAATGATTACAAACAGTAAACAATCGGTTTACGCGAATATTCACACAATTTTGATTTAAAATATGTATTCATAAACTTCCACTAAAAAGTACACTTACACACATACACACTCTCTCTCTCTCTCTAGCAATCAATAAGCATATATAAACATTAAACAACTGCTTTTTACTGTAATTTTGAAATATTTCTGGAATTGTATTACAGTCAATGTTAATGTTCTTATTTCTAATTCTTTTTCGTTCTGTTGTGCAACTTTTAAACGTTCTTCTATTATATATTTTATTATTATTTTTCTTATGCTTTCTCAGCCATTGATGAATCACATATTTCCTATTCACTGACTCGAAACAGTTTGTCTGTGATTGTATGAGTTGTGTACGAATGAGCAAACGCTTTCGAGTACTTCTCGCCAGTATTGATTTTTTCTTGCCTGTAGATGACACTTTTCTCAAACAGAACACAACTATTTCCAACGCTCTTTATCATGCATTGCTATTTTCAAATGCATGTGTTGCTTCTTGTTCCACACATTTTTTTTCTAAGTTCGAAGTTCTTAATTGATCATACATATACCCTACTACATCTACATGGTATGCAATATATTCTCTCTTTTCGTAATATAAGTTATTTTTTGTGCTTGAATATGACTGAGAAGAAATCAAAACACCAAAAGTCACCGAAAAAGCTCTTGTGACTTCCGTCGTAGTGCTTTTTACCAAAATTAAGTTTTATATATATTTGTTGTGCTTACTCAAGAACTTCTTCAGTGGCTTTTGGTATTTACATTTCTTCTCGCTCAAATTCGAAAACAAAAGTTCTGGTTTATTATGGTCTTTGAAGTTAAGACTTTTATGTGTGCAAGGGATAAATAACTAACTTCCACTAATCACGGACATGTAACAATAATGCTGGACATCTGTTCAATCACTTTTGCATTGTAGGTTATACATAGATCTGTGTACCGGTCGGAAAATCGGTGGCGGCGTGTAAAAAACGTTTTCCGACTAGCGGCGGCGGCAGAACCTCGTTAAAAGATTTTCCGCCTTCGGTGGCGGCGGCTAAAAAAAATGTTCAATCGGCGGAGGCTAAAAGATTATTTAAAACTTTGGATCGTCAGCGGAGAGGCGCAACCAAATTTGAAGACGAAACTTAGTTTAAGCCACGATCCATTGTCAATCTCATCAAATTTTTTATTTTATTTTCAATCGAAATAATGAGGCTAAGACAAGTTTGTACGGCGAGGACCTCCAAAAAACTTCGGTGGCGGCAGCGGCGTGGTGCACAGGTCTAGTTATACTATGTGTGCCAACTATGCTTACCAACGCTAGTCGAGAGGATCAGTCTCTCTCGTTTGCATGATGTGTTGTTCATCAAAAACTGTCCTCCTGAGGGAAAGAATTTATTGGAAGTACATAGGTGACTTCTTTAGATAGAAAGCGTTAGTAAAAACTGAACGAACAATTACCTGAAACTTGCTTCATAAAAACTGATGGTTCGTTGCCTGTCTCTGAGAAGTCGAACTGCTCTTCTTCCGAACTCGTGTGCAAGGCGGAGGACCGTATATGAGCGTTGAAGGGATTCGTCCACTGGGTGTGTACAAGGACTGAGTGAGTGGCGAGAAGTATTTGGCATTGTCAGTCAAAGTTTACATTATTTACCAAAAGTTTTAACTATGGCGAAGATTATGTCAGAAACGTGTACAAAACTGATCCAGGCGATGCCATGTCGACTTCATTCGAGTATTCGTGCCAAAGAGGACATGACGGTAAAAATGTTGATATACTTTTCGCATCTTTTTCGAAAAAAATGATGCCTTGAAGAAATGATCTTCAATCAACATTTGTACTTTCAGCATTTGAGATACCCACCAAATAGATCAAAAATATGTATGAAAGAAATCGGTGTAATAAACCATTACTTCTTGGCACGATTGCATTATTGATCTTGATATGTGTACACAAAAAAACCTAAAGATTTAACAAACGGAAATATACCAGTTTCTGTGTTTTTTGCATCCAATTGAATACATGCGTGCTTTAACTATGCCATAATTCAAAGTCAAAAGTTTATTATAAGCGATTCCATCTGGTCTTTTTCAAGCAGTTGTCGATGCGTCGTGCTTTTTCTCGGGCAAAAGAGACTGTTTTTAAGTTGCGAATACGCAAAAACTATATCATAAGAGAAGAAGAGATTGTAGACAAAAGATATCAATAAACAATAATAATATAAATTTAATAAGATAAAACAGGAGGAAATTTCCTGTACAGCAATGTGTAAACGTATGACGCGAATATACAAAATTACTATTCATTTATTGCACGTTTAATTAGGAATTTTGAACTGGTTCGGTTGGAGTATTTATTAAGTGAGGAATTTTAAAAACATTTGCAAATTTTTCGTGAGTCAAATACGTTCACTACAGCTGTCGGTCTGGGAAAGAAGGTTTACGTTTACAACAGTCAGTGTTTGCAGGAGTTCTACATCAGACCAAATACTGAAAACTTCAGATTGATCTAAAATTAAAACTAAAACTTGAAGTTGCAGTGTTTAATTTTGTGTATTTCGATCTAATTTTTATAAAGTGGAGAAGTGCTGGAAAAGCTGAATCAGATTTTTCGAATTTTTGAAAAGTGATATCTGCCGAAATCTAACAGAATACTATAAATTCAATTAATAGTCTCTTATTATGTTAATTTAAAACTAACTTGAACTTTGCAGCATTTATGAACACGAGACTTTTGTACAGCCACGAACGGATTCATTTTCAATTTCGTTTCCTAGATAAACTGAGTGAAACTATAGTATAGGAAAGCGTGACAAGTTTCATCACTTTATCCTGTCCAGATCCACATTTTTTTGAAACTTTGATCTAGATCGGACATATAGTTGCCGAGATCACTTTCCGATAGAAAACCTTAAATTTATGTTTATAGAGCACATGGAAGAAACTTGCAGTGAGACGTAAAAAAATAACCGGATAAAAAAAGAACTCAATTATTTGCAACTTTATAAATGTGTCGATATTTTCCGTGTGGATTATCGCTTGTTTTCACAACTCGATTATTGTTATTATTCTGATGAGATATTGCCCGCGTATTTGTGTTGCTTGATGAGACCTAGCCAAATTAACGACAACAACGTGTGTTGTACTAGAACAATTGTGGAAAACATAGACTGACTACTCACGAAAACTGTCGGTGGTGGATTATTATGTTGAACATCTGAAAATATAACGGGAGCTGCCGAACGAGGTCGATTTTGTGGAACAGGTGATAGACGAGTAGGCGATGGTGTACGACGATGTTCCCGATGATGATGATGATTCTTTGTGTCTTGTAGATTCAATATCACATTTTTCATTACTTTTAAAGGCTAGAATAATATAGAAACAAATCATATTAGTTCAATATTCATTTGATTTGACATTATATTTTTTTATCTTACTTCTTGATACTCTAAAAGTTTTTCAATATCTTTTGTCAATTGATTATTTGTTTTTAGTAACGATTGTTTTTGTGTATTATTTTCACTAAACGTTAACGATGTATAGCCAAAGACAATGACCTCAATAAAGCAGCTTACTTCAACTGTTTTTCCAATTGTTCAATAGTTTCTTGACTTTTTTGTAATTGTTGATCTTTATTTCGAACTGTTGATATTAGAAAATCATAGGGTTGTTGAGCTTGATCAAGAATTGTATTTGCTGATTGCAACTTTAAATTAAAATAAATTAGATTAAAACGACTACTTGAGTGTTACACCCGTACCTGTTGATGAATTTCCTTTGTTTTTTTTCGTTCTTTATCTAATTCTAATCTCAATGATGTGTTTGCTTGTTCTAATTGTATAACTCGTTTAGCCAAATGAACACTATGCTGCAAACGTCGTTTAGCTGAGGTAGGCAATGTTGCCCCATAACCGTATGAAAATAAAATTTTTTCGGCATCATTATCGTTTTCAACTAGAATAGTGATACACATCTTCATCCTTCCTGTTCACTGTTGAAATTCTTTCACAGAAAAATTATGCCTTTTATCCTTGTCTCTGATGCTCTATGCAATACCCATCATTTACCATTGTGAGTATAGATAACTTTTAAATTACATATCACATATTCGTATTGTTTTCTATATACTACTACACCAATATTGTTTTCTTTCTCGTGAGAAAAACATTGCCACAAGATTCGGGACAGTTGAGCAGATATAACATATATTTTACTTTAGGTCAGGCTTATGAGCTCAGAGCTCTTAGAAAACTCATACTTAGTAAACTACTGAAAACCAATGAATCGTTTAATTAACCCTATCTGGAGAGAACACTCGGAACTATCTAGCTAAAAAATGATCAAAACGTTGTCATTCATTTTCTGAAGGTTTCGAACTGATTGCTTAGAGAATCTCCACAAGTCTAATCAAGAAAGCATTTTCAAATGCGCTTTCAATGAAAACATAGCCTTAGGTATCCCCTTTCGAATGTCGAAAAGTACAAGTCTGCGTCGCTTTTCGTTTTTGAATTAGTCAAAAAGCATGCATGTCCACTTGACTGTGAATTGAACAGTCAGTTCAACACTGAAGAGTCCGAAATACGTTAGTTTATAAGATTTATAACTCTCAACTTTTTTTCGGATCAATTTTTCAGCGGAAAACCGTTTATAAATCCATTTATAAATCTCATTTGTACTTATATCGAACAGTACCCGAACCATTTCGTACTCTTCAGTGAAATTCAGTCTTGCTATATACTGATCACTGCGGTGATATCTGTTTTCATACCCTGTGCTGCTTGCATAACAACATCGTCTAATTCTTGCTCAACATTTTCATATATTTGTAATTTTGTTCGTTTTTCATTCAATTCGGTATCGATTTCCATCATTCGTCTATCCGATTGAACTTGAAGATTAAAATATTCTTTTTGAATTAACTGTAAGAATAAATCGAAATTAATTGTATGATGTATTAGTAATTTTACAACGATAAATTTACATCATTTTTTTTTTGTAATTTTTCAATATCAATTTGTGATGTTTTCATATTTTTTAAATTTTCTTCATATAATAATTGAAGACGATCTAATTCAAATGTTTTCATTTTTAATTGAGATTGTTGATCAGCTAAACGAATTTCTGTTTGACTTTGATATTGACGATGTCTAACCAAACAAAATACAAAACATTAATTAATCATACATGACTAATATAATATTAATGATAACCTACTCATTTAATAGTCCATCATATTTTCGTTGTAATTCTCGTTCTGATTGAGCAATACGATCACGTTCGATTAATGCTTCTTCACGACCATGTTGAAAACCTCTAGAAAACGATATACAAATTATTAAAATCACAATTTGTCAAAAACAAAATGACTATCTTTATACCTATTTTCTCTTTCATACATTTCTTTGACACTGTGTCGTAGTTTATCAATTTCTAAGGATGTTTTTGAACGTAATTGATCTAATTCGACTGCTAGTTTATTCTCATATTCAGTTTTATATGTATCTCTAAAATTACAAAATATGAATAAATTATTTTCTAATAACTCATATGCTATTATAGCGTGTATGAAAAATGAATGGATAATATTCTGAAATTTGATGTCAATAATGTCTCATACCTTGATGAAATATATTTTTCATATAAAGTTTCTTTTGCTCGTTTAACATCGTCCAATTGTATTTCTAATGAGCCAATTTTTTCTTCAGCCGAATAAAATTTATTTTGAATATCATTCAACTGTCGAGTTAAATAATCTTTATCTTGACGTAAAATAACAATTTCATTTCGATTTTCAGCCAACTGAAGAATGTATCAGTTAAATATTGTATAAAATGTATTCTGTTAACTAAATTTTACCTCTTTCAAAAAACTTTCTTTTTCTCTTGTTATTGTTTGACTTTGAACATTTTCTTGCATCATTTGACGATCTAAATCGATCACACGTTTCTCATAATTATCTCGTTCACTAATAAAGAAGAAAAAGAATATATATATATACTAGACTTAAAGAGGTGTATGTAGCCTACTTTTTAATTCTATCATAATTTTGCTTCTTAAAATCATACTGTTCAGTTAAATTTTTATATTCATTCACTTCTGATGTTAATTTCTGAATTTGCATTTGCAATGCATGACATGACCGACGTTCATCACCCAAAGCCTATGGAAAAATATAGTAGTCATACTTGAGCATTATAGATACAAGGCATATACGAGTATATTCGGTTTCCATCAATACCGATTTTTTGTTTTCAAATTATTTAAACGTGTTTTAAATGCCAGTCGATTGTGCAGAATAGATGTTCTGTGTAGTTCGATGAGAGTGAATGGAAAACAAGACCGTCATATCGTTCATTCTATACTCTTTCTAATGTATGAGTAACGAATTTCTCAAAAATACTAATACAGTGACACTAATATGTTAATTAGACAAACAATTCGTATACTCTGCATGACATTACATCTCTAGACAAATGTCTGATTTTTCAATAAAATAATGTTTGTTATAAAACTTGTACAAGCATTCGAACATTCTTAAATACTTAGTAGTTCCATAATCCTTGTTGATCAAGATCAAATTGCTCATAGTGCAGGAGCTCATAGTGCACCAACGTCAGCGTGGGGTCTCCACCTATCAGAAATTATTTCCGACACCGTGCATCCGATCTTGACGAAAATTTCCATAATGTTAGGCCCACTGAGTTACGGGAATGAAGATTTTTTTTGTCTCCAAGTCTTACCGTTTAGGAGTTTTCGAGAGATCAAGGTCCAAAAAGGACACTGAAGTATTTCCCAAGACTTTATAATATACTTCAAGCTAGAGAATTTGAATTTGTTTTATTTTAAACTAGACATCTAACTAGTTTTCGAGCCGATTTTTCAATTAAGCCTTTGTTCGTATTGTAGATAGCCAACAACCTCAAAAATCCGACAAATGCTTTCTGGTTTTCTAGAATTTGTCAGTTTGCCAAAAATCTAAGGCCTGACTGAAACATCGGCGCCGGTCAGACCATGTACTTAGGTTCAATCTAATTTAAGTGTCCAGGAAAAAGAAGGCCCAGTTTTTCGAGACTCCTAGAAAACTTGCTTGAAAGCCGCGAAAAATCACTTCTATAACTGAAAGCGATACAGATTCTGAAAGGAGATACTTCAGGCTATCTTTCCATGTGCTTATCTCAAAATCGATTTTTTGACCGAGAATCGTCATTTCTGAGGAGGATGCCCTTAATAATTTTACTATGAGAGGATTAAATAAAACATCTTATGGATATACTTTATTATGTAAAAAGTAAAAATCCTCGAATCGAAAAATATTAGATGGATCAAGACTAGTAAAAATACCTTTAGAATGAGAGATAATAATACGAAATATCGTGCAAACATTATTTTATTGAAAAATCAGACATTTGTCTAGAGATGTAATGTCTTGCAGAGTATACGAATTGTTTGTCTAATTAACATATTAGTGTCACTGTATTAGTATTTTTGAGATATTCGTTACTCATACATTAGAAAGAGTATAGAATGAATTATATGACAGTCTTGTTTTCCATTCACTCTTATCGAGCTACACAGAACATCTGTTCTGCACAATCGGCTGGCATTTAAAACACGTCTAAATAATTTGAAAACAAAATACCAGTATTGATGGAAACCGAATATACTCATATCAATACATGCTTAATAGATACTCTACATACCTTTTGTGTTTGTATTGAATCTTGATTACTAGTTAATAAATGTGTATCCAAAAGTGTTTGCGTTTCTTTTAATTCTTCAATTTGACGTTGCAACGGTTTTACTATCTCATAAAATCGAACCTAAAGTAACATTACTTGATTAAAAATTTCTTATATTTACATAATGTCGTATACATACCATAACGAAATCTTTAAGTGTCATTTGTTCATCATCAATTATTTTTAATTGTTGATATTCGTCATCGGATGGTAAGATTTTTCGTTGTAAATTTTTTCTAATCTCATTTGATTTTGATAATAGACGATAATTAACATCTTCTAATTCTTTTTGTCTTGACATAATCTGTTGTAATTGTTGACGAATTTCATCTTGTTGATGATTTAACGTTTCACGTTCAATCTGTAAATGGTTAAAAATAATGAAGAAATTTGTTGCTTTATTTTTTGAAAAGAATCGTTTACTTGTATTTGTGAATCTAATTTTGCTTGTAATAGTTGTTTTTGATATTCTGATTCGGCTAATTTTTCTTGTAATTCTTCAAGTTTTTCTGAATATTCAATACGTTGATTCTGTATTAGTAAATCACGTTGACTCAATTCAATTTTCAATAATTGAATATCATGTTGATACTTTTTCTGTTCAATAACATCATGAAACTGACGACTATTTAACGTCGTTGAACTGAATCCGATAGCAGCATTGGAATTACGCACACCAGCAGATGGGGAAAATTCCTTTAGATAAGAAAATAGACAGCATTATTTAAGAAGACCAAATCTGGACAAATCTATGATTTTTGGCGTCACAAATTAACCCACAGTCTTTTCAGAAATTTTACAAGTTAAATCACGTCACCCTTCATTTGTAGATTAAATTTAAAGGCACGAATTGACTTTTTCCCATTTTGAAGTCTTTCAAGTTTGATTAGATTTTTTATAGCCCGATTGTCAAAAAATATGTTACAAGAGACAATATCAAACGTTAAGGTCAAAATTAGAATATCTTCTTAAGTATTTTATATATTAAAATCTTTCATATAAGATCAACAGATGTCACATTTTTAATAGAAGAAGACAAACAATTAATAGATACGTTTCGAATAGCAGTTTAAAGCACTTTAACATCGCTTCTTTCAGATCAAGTGCTAATATTGCAACAATTGTCTGAAATCCATTTCAGAATGTGTCGAAGACCGTATTTACTTCAAGAGGTAAAAAGCACATTCCGGAATGGGTATAAAATTTCTGGAATGCCACTTTAGAATGGTGGACTGCCATTCTGGAATAAAAGAAATTTTTTCAGTTTTGATCTAAATCTTGGTATACATACCGGCTAAGCTCGGCTTCTAAAAAATGAAATGCCATTCTGACATTCTACAATGGCATTCCAGAATAGACATATTCCGGAATGGGTACATTTGCCTTAGAATGCTTTTCCCCCCTTGATTTACCTGCGCAAATAGCATATTCATTGCCCGATATCGCTTTGGACACAAATAAAAAGAAGGAGAACATTTTTCAGTTAAAAAATAATACCATAGGTAAAGGCTGTGGAAAAAATTGATGACTATCACGTCAGTATATTAATCAGGGACTAAGACGGGTCAAGTTGACCTATAGAAAAAATAGTTAAAATAGTTTCGTATCAACATGAAAATAAGTTTTTTTGAGTAAACAGTGAAAAGAACAGGTTTTAAAAGTTTTCAAGTTTATCTACGGTTCTAGTCCATTAATTTACAGAAAACGATTAAAATGAATAAAAAATGAAGAAATATCAGTTTTGAATCGGGATCGAGTCAAAGTGACTCATTTTGGTCTCTAATGTAGAGTAAATAATGGTATCCCGAGTTTTTTAATAATTGGATTATTGACTTGAAACTGTTATCAAAAGGATAAAAGAATGCTGATTATAAAGAGTCAAACCTGGAATGAGTTCGAGATTCATTGAATCAAATATTCAAACACTTCAGATGTAAAACATCAAAATATTTTTCGATCATTAGACTCCCTGTTGATTTCCAATAAAAAATTTTTTGCTTCTTTTGATAATCAAAAACTGAATATTGCCTATTGATACCACCCCACTTTGACTACTTCTGTGCATATGTTTTAGATGAAGAGGTAATTTTATTTCATCAAAAACATTCAAGATTGATCTTGTTTTAAACTTCAATCTGCATCATATCCTGAAATGTCCATCTTAACCGTAGAGTCTCGTTCAAATACACCATCTCATTCATCAAAACGCATTCTTCGTCAACGGTCACTACCTTCATCAAAATATGCATCAACATCCGGCGGTTGTGAACAACCTGAAATTGGTGCTATTTTATCCTCGAAATGTTCAACCGTATCTTGCCGAAAATATTTTAATTTTTTACAATATAACGATAAATTATCGGACAGAGATCAATTAAAATTAAATGAAATTCGAGATAAAACACCAAGTGAATTTGAACAATTGTTACCAACACTAATTAAATACGGTATCATTCGTAGTGATAAATTATTAAGTTACAATGATAACAATATTAATAAACGAAATTTTTTGACACTAATAAAAAATGAATATGAACGAATTGAACACAAAAAATATCTCGAGCGTTTATACGGTAGTGTCATTCTTGATCATAGAAAACAGTTGAAAAATGCTCTTACCTTCACCGGTCAATATTCATTACTAAACTGCTATAAAGATGAAATAATTAGAGAATTAGAATTAAGAGTGAAAAATTGGCAAGAAATCGAATTATTTTCTGATATTTCAGAAACAACAGTGACTGGTTCAAAAAGACCCACTACAGTCAATGTTTCATCAACTTCGGCTCCGTTAGATAATAAAACTTCTTCGATCACATCTGTCAAATCATTGTGTACTCTGCTCTATGCTAAACAAAAATTGATAGAACCAATTCGACATTTTCGTTTTGTTGATTTATCAACTCCCAAAGAAACTTCTTTCGAACCTATCAGTGATGAGACAACATCAACCTCAACAATAACAACAACGCAGACATCAGCTACAAAACTGCGTCGTCTATCAATAAGACATCAACAACAATTAAAACAAATTGAACAAGAAAATAAAATATTAAAACGAATTTTTCAGAACACTGTAGAGCCACCGAAAAATTGGCATGAAAAATGTGTTGTTAATATCATTGAACAAGGGATGATGTTATTAGATCAAGTGAGAAAATTACCCTTATTACAAAACGATAGTGATTTGTATGATTGTGAAACCGTAGCATTATCAAATAAAGAAATAAATAATATTGCCCAAGAGAATGGTCCAGTAGTAGGAGCAACAGCATTGTCAATGAGATCAATGGAACAAATTTTGAAAATCCAAAAGAAAGAAATAGTTAATCAATATCGCAAATGGGTATTATTATGGGAAATATTATATCTTAATACTAATGAAAACTAATTTTTTCTTTAGTATGTACTTAAAACTTTACTTCAAAGAAATTATAAAATTTTATCTATAAGTTTTACTCCAATTTTAAATTTGAAAAAGAATTGGCGGAATTCAGTGAAGAAATTCTTATGAAATGAAAACATATTCTGTCTACTTGTATAAATCGAAAGTACAATCAGTTTCAGATTTTAGCTTACGGGGTTCAGTCTTAACAGTCGTCAACAAAAACGAATCAAAATAAGATTAAATAGACGATCACAATATTTTTATAAAGAATAGACCATTATCGAATATGTTCATTTTGCAGACACGATAGCATATGTCCATCCATGAGTTTTTTTCAAACATTTACTTGTAAAAAGTTGTTGGTTTGAGATGCTCACGATTCTTCCAATAGGTTTAGATCCAGTTCTCATTAATTTTATACGAAATTTTTATAATAAATGTTTAAATAGATGAAAATACAGATTAAACCATTATTTGAGAAAAGGAGAAAGACTTAGTGAAGAATACCTGCAAACGAAGACACATCTCGTTAGGTGTACCGTGTGCTTTTAAACAATCTACTAATATTTCCTTCCTGTCCTATACGGCACGAACGAATGTTTTGCCATTTCTATCAAGGTAACCTCAGAATTTGAAAGAGGGTCGAAAGGACTAATTTTGAAATAGTCAAAAGTCAAATGGTTTTATTGCACAACGCTCGCTTACTCAAAATATCTAGCGTTCATTTTCAACCATTCAGACAAAAGTTGAAAATATTATTCATTACTGAATTAAAGGTGGCTTCTCCCATTTCAAATGGACGATTTTCATCAAAAAATTAGAGATATTCTACTGCTCACGTTTTATATAAGCCCACTTTCGACTCTTTGTTTCTTATCTATCATGTGCACAGTGATTTATCTAGTGGATGGATCGCGCCCATCCGAAAATAAATAGTTGATTTCGTTTTAGCAAAAATTTTAGCCAACAACCCCTCCAAAAATTTCAACCGCCCACCCAAAAAACGAACTCTAGATAAAACACTGCATGTGCGAGCATATTACGAACACAGGTGGGGCACGTGTACGTATATGCAGGTCGTTTAAAACCATTTTAATAAAGTAGATGAATAAACCGCTTGGAAACTCCGCAATCACATTTTTTTCCACCGGATCTCTAGAAATTCAGTAAGGCTTTTAGACAGAGAGCCAAAAAAGTTTTCTTGATCTTACTTTCCTCCGCAAATTTTAACATTTTTTAAGACAAAAGCGAATTTCCTTTGATTTCGACTTGTGAGCCAAAAATATACAAACCTTTTAAACTTTTTCATCGATACAGTCATTTCGAGAATTTTCTCAGCAATTTGAAAATTAAAAAGTTTCGAACTCTGTCAAATTCAAATGCATTCCGTCACTGATTAGGATACTTAGACTCAAAACAATTAGAATGCGAGCGATGTAGTACATACGTCTAATAAGGATAAACCATATGTTGGATCGGTCGGAAATGTACTTTCAGAACTATTGCCACCATTTGACTCAACATCACTTTCGTCGTGAGGCATTTCTAATCTAAAGATAAAGCAAAACATTAAACTATCTATACAACGTATGCGATTGAATAAGTCGATATAAGTAAGATAAGTTTCTTGTCCGCATTATAAGTGTCATTTTTAGATTTCTTTCACCAATCAGTTGCATAGCTTTTCCAAACACAGTAAAACCTCTACATGTAATAATCGCTCTGAAATCACTATCTCTTCATTCTGAATACTTTATAGTAGTTTCAAAACGGCCTTTTTGCTGAAAATGAATCTCTGGTGTCTGGAGTGGGCACCTCTATATTTTATAAAATCCCCAAGATATGCATAGTAGGAAAATTTTATTGTAACAGACACCCCTAAATTTCATCAGAATAATTCTGCATTATATTTCTCAATTTATTCCTTCCTACTAAAAAAAATTGATACACGTTGAGAATATTTAGCTTATAGAAAAGAAAGAAGAATACGATTACCTATATAGGGTGCTGTCGAATGGCAGTTTCACTAGCTCGATATCTTCCCCGCAGTTGACAAGCTTCTGAAATGGTCACCCATCTCGTTACTAGTCATCAACCACAACTCTGGACAGAAGACTGGCCTGATTGGCTTAGAGTACTTTCGCTCTCTATGTACACTCACTAACCACGTACTAGCTATCTCGAAAGCTACGCGAACTAGCTAGAAGAGCTGTGGTTATACAAGAGAGAAATACCTAACGAGTGAAGTTTTTAATGAGTGCTAGAACAAACAAAAAAAAGTGGAAGTTACACCAACAGGCTGCTTGATGAATATTCGTAGTAAATACATTTTTTCACCTGGTTTAAAGCAAAATGGACAAATTCACTAACTCAAGAATCACTCCTTTCAAGTGATAACTCAATGGCTGAGACTATGAACCTATAAATTTTTTAGTTTTCGTGAACGGGAAAAGGATAATATTCTTGAGTAAGACGTAGTCCTGGTGGGGACAGGTTTGTTGTTCTAGTAATTATAGAAGCCAAGGAAAACAAGGCGGCCTCGAAATAATAATCTTGTTTACATAGATATAAGCTCAAAACAGGGCGTGTCAGTAAATAGCATGAGAGAATTGCATATTACTTTGAATTTTACTCTCCTCTCGCTGCAAGGGCTTGATAAAATACTATTGGACTTCTCTTCTACCATGAACGATGATTAAATCGTAGAAACAGCCTCTGATAGTTTTAGACTATCGTCAGGGTTGTTTGGATAAAAAAATGAAATCTTTAAAATCCCTATCGTAATTGAGAAAATCACTGTAAACTTTTAAAAAGAAAATGGACTAAAATGCATAAACAGCTATGAGATAGTTAGAACTAATCAAAAACTGGATTGTACTGCAAAGGAGAAGCAGAGTGTCAGAAATATCGAAACAAAAGTGGAAGAAAAGAAAACATAAACAAACAAGGTAACGCTCGTCTGCGCTCGCTTGGTCCCTTGACTTTAGGAACTTATATCTCCGAACGATGACTTTAAATCAAACACAAGGCTCACACCTCCTTTCGGTCGGTGTTCGCTAGGGCACTATCCCAAACCCGTTATAAATTTTTATCTGATCTGATGCGTAAACTTCGTAATGGAATTTAAACCTAAAAAGTTTTCTTGAGATCCTCCAAAGATCCCCGGAGGTCTAAACATATGTTTAAATGCAATATCTGACAGCAATTTTTCGCACAGACACACAGACAACCATTTTGTAATACCCTAGACTAAAGTCAAGAGAACAAGTATTCGTTAATAAACTATGCAATAGCCCCATCAGAACACGTTTAACTGAAGAGACTTTATTGCTTTCGTTTCGCCCTGATGATTCTTCTTCAAAAAGATGAAACCTTTATCTTTTGAAGAGACTTAATATCGATTACCTTGTTTCTAGTTAAATAAGCCCAGCATTTCTGATGAGAATTTTAAGCAAAGTAGTTTCCACAGTTTATCCCTGCATTTTCCCTGCTAAAAACAGAGTGGAAATCGAATTTTCAAAGTGGCAAACCACTTTGCTCTCACGGACCACCAATCATTAGAAATACTGAATAAGTCGGTATCGAAGAAATCTGCGTAGAAACCACATGTGAAGGTTTTTTCTCTAAATTCCTCTGAAAGAGGAAGAACAAGGAGTGAAAATTTATACAGGGAAAGATTGCTTGAAATCTGAAAATTTTATCCACATCATACCTCCTCCTCCCCCTAACGCCTGCGGACGTACGCAATCCATGGGCAATACCGAATATACATTGTATACGCGGACAGGCAAACGTAGAATCTTAATAAAATTAAAACAAATTAATGTAAAGGTACATACTCAGGGCACAGGTTTCATCCAGACCCCACCTTACTCCATCACGTTTGAATGGAGGAGTTACACTTTAGACCCAGGGTCTACTCTGATAAGGTTTTCTTATCGTAAGCAGTTTGAGATATTGTTTTCCCACACGTATGATTCATTTCGAGAACAAGAGAGTACAAGTGCAATACGTTGACTGAATTGTATATTCATCTATTCTGCACTTGCAATTAAATTAATAACTTAGATCTTGTTGTTTATTTCTAGATTTTTGTGACCAGAAGATAAGATGGATATACAACCGACATTACCACCTTCGACGTGTGCAAAGCTTTTTATTGATGTCGTATTAGAAGTTAACAAATTATCGACGGTAAGATGAAAATAGCCTGAACTGCGTTATGTACTGATGTACGTTTGCTTATTTATTTACGGTATCAGGCTCTATCTGGTACCTTAGATGACTTACTTTCAAACTTTTCTACCTTATTCACATCGTCAGTATTTTCATTAGATGCCGATTATAATTTACCTTCGATCTACATTGATTCATTTATTCATATTTATGAAATTTATTTATCTTGTGAACGTTCTCTATTCGTCTCTTGTGTCAGTGAAATTGGTATATTATGCTCGGATAAATTTTATGAAAGAGTACATTATCTGATTGAATTTATGCTAGAATTAGTTTTCATGCATGATTGCATAAATGATGAAACAACGACGCGAGAATTACTCGAACAGTATATGGAGAATACAACTTATGCTGATTTAACCGACCATTTCATTTATTATCCAATATTTTTACAAGCAAGAATGATGACATTCATTGAACATTTTAAAACCGATAAATTTTTAAATTTTACACTTACACGAACAGAAGCTGATCAAGCAAAATTAAATCTGTTCTTACAAGATGCCGGTAAGAACGAAGACATTGTTAGTTGTCCTTGTAGTGTAACTTGAAGAGGCGACTCAAAGAATAAAGAGAAAAATAAAGCATTTGTCTCTTTCAAATGTTTATCTTTATGTAACCTGACAATGTCATGAAAAAAAGTTAAAACGAGGATACGTTTGCTGTCAGGTTTCGGATTCTCTTCCTAAGGGCAAAATCTGTAGTTTACCATTTTTGCCTTATTATTCACTTTATAGATATCGAAGAATGTATCATGGAGAGACAAGAGATATCTCACTTTGTAGGTAAAAGAGCGCTCTTCTAAACTTACTACGGATTCTACCCAACTTAATCGACCGTTGCTCTCCTAAGTCAAAATACCAGGAATCCTTTCTAAGGAGTTTGCTTTAGGGTTCACGGCAAATGGTAGCAGAAAAAAAAATCGATTGAGTCGGGTAGAATCCGTAGCAGATTTTGAAGAGCGCTCCTTTACTTACAGAATGAGACGTTTCTTAGCTCTTCACGATACATTCTTCGATATTTATACGCTGAAAAAAAAACACAAAAATGGTAAAATATAAGAGTGATCAAAGAGAAGATTATCTGTTTATATCAACTATTACTGACTTTGTTTATAGAATGTTTCTTTGTTCTTCAGCTCGTTATTTGCACGATTCATCCACTCGTCTTCTGTATCGGTCATTATTATTTCAAATGAAATCGATCTCAAGTCGTCAATCGTGTTTGAAAGCTCTTATTGTTGGTACCGTTTTTCTTCCTCTTACCACAAACGAATCGTTTCTCGACGAATTCTATCATTTACTCTCGTCTCGTTATTTACTTACATCAACAATGATGGACACATTTTTTCATGTTCTCTGGCCAACAGGCATTAATCAAATTTATTCTGTACCACGTGCCTATTTATCAATGTTAGTTATTGTTCGACTTGCATCCATGAATCAAGTAAGATCTCGAGAATTTACACAAAATGAACTATATTCATATTTACTCCAAATCTGTTATCTTATTCATGTTCGTGTACCAAATATTAACATTAATTTGATGCATTTATTCGAACCAATATGTGAATGTGATAAATTTAAAAATTTATCGGTTTTAAAATGTTCAATGAATGTCATCATTCTTGCTTGTAAAAATATTGGATAATAAATGAAATGGTCGGTTAAATCAGCATAAGTTGTATTCTCCAT